ATTACAACAACCTAGGATTTGAGGAAGAGAAACACCAATCCCTGTGATTATCTAGAGTATCCAGCCCACATCCTTTCTAGACTTGCCCCTGAGTAATATAATCTTCAACCCAAGCCTCATCCTGTCTACTAAGCAAGAGGTAAGGCAGGTAAATAGATTTCCTCTAAAATGTAGAGGATAGAGTTAAGGGAACTGAAATGAATTGAGCATCTACCATGTACTATATATATATCATAGCGTGTTTAAAGCTCACATTAGCACTGTAGAATAAGTCTCATTGCCTGCATTTTACATCTTAGGAAGGTGAGACCAAAGAGGTTAAATAATTTGTCTGAGGTCACAGCTAGTAAGTGGCAAAGCCATAATTCAGGCTTGGAGAATAGTAGCAGAGTTCTAGTTCAGAAAATCTGTTGGATTCTGGCTCTGCAAGGGCTTTAACATGGTTAAGAGACATTTCAGATTATCAGACTGCTTCAAAGCCATGGCCATTAGGCCCCCACACAGCAAGCTCTACTCCAGGGAACTTCAGACTCTGCTTGAAATTCAATTGCATCAAACGCCTTTAGTCTTGACAGTTTAATTTTTGCACCTTAATTTCAGGCTGCTTCCTGATGAGAAATGTGATAGCTCAGTTGCCATAAGCAAAAGAACTCATACCAAGGAAAACCCTTGCTGAGTTGGCAGCACCCTGGGAGGTAGGAATCCTTGAGGTAGAGAAGTCCATGGAGCAGGAAAATATAGAGGCCCCTTAGCCATAAAAGCACTGAAGATCTGGGAGGCCAGGCAGAGTGATCAGAGGGATGGCCCCACAGCTAGAGGTCATCAACAGCCCAGAGTTGCATAAAAAGCAATGTGAAGGCAGGGAATAGCTTTGGTCAGGCTGCCAAAGTCACTGAACCAAAGCCGGGATCCTGAGTTCACCGATCCTTCCAACTCAGTAATATCTACAGGTAAGTCCAAAGGGGAATTGCTTCAGGAATCTGACAGTTTAACTCTGCTGTGCTGATACAAGGATGTCATCACCGAAGCTGGAAAGAAAATGGGCCACTGATCATGACATGATTTAATAATGAGGCCAGCTCTCATTTTTCTATTGGGAACTTGGCAAGAATTCTCTAGACAGTAGACAATTCTCAAATCACTTATATATGACTTTGGAATTTGGGGTAGCTTTGACAGCAGTAGGATTATGTTTAACTTGGATTGAAAACTGACATAATTAGCAGTCTTTGAGAATCCACTGATTGACGGATGAGGCACAAAGGAGAACCAATCCGTCACTTAGATATTGCCATCAATGATACACAGAGGGGGAAATGAGTCATAAATAAATAATTCTGGTGGTAGTCTCAAGTTGGTTCTTTGTAGTATTTGGTCATAGCACTAAACTAGGCTGGGGAAAAAGATTCATGGGCCAGAATTCTGAAATCTTTGCCTTAGCTATATACCTGTTCAGAGAGAATTTCTTTTCAACCTGTCTTTTCCTTGGCCTCTAAAGTTCTTCTCAGAAAAAAAGTCAATCCCCTGCTCGAGACTACGGCCAAGTATGTAAGGTTTGTCAGTTTCATCTCTGTCCACAGGCCTAGTCACTTTAAGCTGGCCTGTCCTAAGACTGGGAGTCTACTGATGATGGTTTCATCTTTCTCTTTGAAGGGTCCTGAATTTCCTAAACTGCCTTTGAGAGACTCAGATATTTTAATTTGTAAACAGCAGTGAAAAACGTTATGTATCCATTGCTAATGTTATCTGTACAAAATCAAGAAGAGATATTAGAATGGATACAAACCTAGAATGCCTTTTGGATATGGCCGGTGAGGAGTGTTCCTTGATAGTTTGTTTTCAGTTCAGTATAAGACACATCTGAAGCACATCACTTACTGTAAATGAGCTTTAAGAGGGGAAGATACTTTGGAGTTGTTCTATCACTTGAAAATGGGGCAGGACCGTTACAAGAGTAAATATAATTATTTATCAAAATACAGATCTCCAAGTCCGAAAGGAGAGAAATAACTATTATTCATATAGTTCGGTCCTTAGAACCAGTTCTCTGCCTGGGGTATGGCATTTCCACATCTTGCTTAGACTTCAGGCTGAGCCTATTATTGGTTGGAGGTGGGAGATGAGGGAGTGTATTACAGAAAATCCATCTTCCCCTCAAACTCCCAGGGTCCTATTCAGATCAACTTTTTCTAAGTTCCCAATATTTATTGAGCATATTTATGTGTGCCATTCTACTCTAGTTGCTAAAGGGGATACAAAGGAGAAATTTTACACAAGGTTGTAGAGCATTTACACAAACTTGTAAAGGAGGTGAAGTTGGCCAGTTTAGTTTTTTCAGTTTACTTGTGGAACTCAGCCTGCTTTCAGCCCTTCTGTCT